TTCAAGATTGGCTCTTTAAGGTGATTTTTGGTACAACTTATTGTAAATAAAAAGTTTATAATCTAAAAGTGAAAAAACCAAAAGCATCTTGTACCTAATTTTTGAAAATGGAAAATTTGGTTAAAACCACCTAGGCCCAATATGTTGGTGTGTAAAGGACAACCCAAAATATTTTACTTCATAAACCCCCTAAATATGAAGCGTGTTCTTCATGAAGAACAAATTAATATTTTTTCTTCTTTTTTCTAGATAATCTTACCCTGGATATATATCTCAATAAAGAACGAAGACAATGATCACACTGGGAAGTTTACTGCTAAAGCATGAGAGAGAGAGAGAGAGAGAGAGAGAACTTTTTTATATAAAAATAAAAAAAAAATAAAAAAAGGGAGGGGAAGATTACCATTTATTTATTGTATTAGATGAATAAGAAAAACCCAAAATTGAGTTGAAAATTTTTGAAAAATTAAAGAATACCCAGATAAATTTAAGCCAAACCCAGTTCAAATATCTGGGAGTTAAAGATTGGTGTGGGTGGGGAGATGGACTCGTTAGGTAAATAAACACAATTCAAACACATTTTAAAACTCATTAAAAAGTTAAATTTAAACAATCTACAAGTCTACTCGATATGTATATATATATATATATATCTACCACAAAAAATGAAATTACTCGAGTTTAACTTATGCTAGAATCGTTAAAAGTTGGTTCAAGATTGACTCTTTAAGGTGATTTTTGGTACAACTTATTGTAAATAAAAAGTTTATAATCTAAAAGTAAAAAAACCAAAAGCATCTTGTACCTAATTTTTGAAAATGGAAAATTTGGTTAAAACCACCTAGGCCCAATATGTTAGTGTGTAAAGGACAACCCAAAATATTTTACTTCATAAACCCCCTAAATATGAAGCGTGTTCTTCATGAAGAACAAATTAATATTTTTTTCTTCTTTTTTCTAGATAATCTTACCCTGGATATATATCTCAGTAAAGAACGAAGACAATGATCACACTGGGAAGTTTACTGCTAAAGCATGAGAGAGAGAGAGAGAGAGAGAGAGAGAGAGAGAGGTGGAGAAGAGCCATGGTGCATGTCAACTGCTCGATATTGTAGTTTTCATGCATAAAGAATTTGTAACAATGTACCTTTATACTTATTTGTTACGTTGTTTGATCATTACCACTCTTGTTTGTTTTCTCAGGATTCCAATTTCATAGATAAGCAAATGACATTTTTAACAAGATTGATTTCATTGAACTTTGCGTGATTGCCTGGATGAGCCAATTTTATATTTGAACTAAAAATCAGAATTTGTTGCACTTTGATTTTAATAATCATTTTCTTTTGCTCTTTTTTCCTGTCAACCAAACAAAATAGGGCCATTTCTTTGGTTGTTGAGAAATAAAAGGAAAATAAATAGTAAATAATGGGAATTTATGTTGCATTGATTGCTTAATTCAATGATATTTTGGTAATAGTAGTATGTGTTAGACATTTCAAAGAAAACTTTTTATACTTATTCTTAATACATTAAACTTTTATTATGAGAAGACTTAGACCAAATTTCCCTTTCAAAATCTACTTTTTAAAGTAGAAACTGTACCGAATAATCTCGCACAAACTCCCAAAATAAAAAGTTAAAAGTAATTCAAATAAGTTGCACTAAACAATCCCAAAGTGAACAAGTCAAAATTGAATACCTTTTAAAACTCATTTTTAAACAACTTACTACTCAGCTCCTTTTGGCTCATTTATTATCCTAATCTCTTAGTTTATAGTGTATTAGCAAATCACCCGTGCTATGTACAAGATAAAATAATACATTATTTAGATAATTATTTTAATTTTTTGTATTTTATCTCATTTAAATAAAATTTTATATATAACTTTAAGAGTTTTGTTTTAAATATTCCTTTACTATAATATATAGTATAGATAAATTAAAATTGTTGTATTGACAATTAATAGTTAAAATTAGGGCAAATTACATATACACCCCTGAGGTTTGAGAAATTACGAATTCCCCCCTGAATGCTATATTTGCATAAGAAATTAGGGGGTAATTTGTTATGAAATATAAACCTTTACTATAATATATAGTATAGATAAATTAAAATTGTTGTATTGACAATTAACAGTTAAAATTATGTTTTGTTATAAAACAAAATGACATAGTTCTAATACTTCACTATTTTAGAATAAAAATATATTAAAACTAAAGTCACATTTATTAGTAAGTATAATTTTATTTGGATATCTATTTATACTTTAACATGCTTATTTAAAACAAAAATAAAAATATTAATAATTTTGAGTTTTAAAATATAATTTTGTAGGCTTGCTATATTAACTTTTAGAAGGAATATATTGGAATATTTTTACAAAAATTGAATATTAGTCATTGAACAAATCTTATAAGATTTGAAATAAAATTTATAATAGGAAGAAATTAATGATACTGCAACATATGCCTTTTAACAATTTTAAATTTTGAAAAAAAATAGATTAGGACGTTGAATTTCAATTATCGTATAACATTTTTATTTATATAATAATATAAATAAGGATAGGTAATAGATTGATTAAAATTAATTATAAATATAGCTATATTTAAAATGATGTGGTTTTGTACAACTATATTTTAAATTCTAAAATTTATTTTTTACCTTCCTATATAAAAAGATTTAAAATTTTAAATTACATATGATTTTTTTTCTAAAAACATATGAAGTCGCAGTGGAATAGAGAGAGAAGTACCATAAAGGAAGAGATAAGCTGCACATATTAAAGATAAATAATTAAATAACTGACTAATAACTTTAATAGTTTTTAAAAAATTGATTAAAATTAATATTTTCTTTTTATGGCTTTGAAAAACTTTTATATGTCTTTGAAATAATGTTGTGTACCAACTGTCAATTAACACATATCATGATATCAAGAAAATATTAAAGTAATTTTTTATTTTTTTTAAAAGTAATGATATACAAACATAAAATCAATACAAAAAAATTATTAATAATGATTTTGTTTGGATTTCGATCTATCACTTTATAATGAGTGACATGTTTTTTATTATACAAGTGACCCTATTACGTCATTTTAATATAAAAATTCTAGTAAAGTAATATTAACTAACAAAAAATAGTTATAAAAAAAAAAACAGATAATGGTTGGTAGAGAGGAGGGAGAAATGACACACAAAATAAAAAATACAAAATAAAAAAAAATGGTCATAGATAAAAATAAAAATAAAAAAAGAGGAAAAAATGGTGTACCTAAAAGATAAAAGAGTATGTTTAAAGAATACAATAGATTAAACATAAACTAACTTCCAAATTGTCTCATAAAAAGAAACTTAAAAAATAATGAGTTTTATTGTTCCATGAATGTAATATTTAAAAGGCGAGGAAAACATGAATGGCTTGGAAAAAGTATAATGTATGATAGCTATGATTTTTGGATAGAAGAACAAAATAGTTAGAGAAAGAGTGCAAAATAATAATTTTTTTCATCTTTCCTTTCTAAATTATAAATCATGGAATCATTATAAAAAATAATAAATTATGATATTTTAAATAATATATATATATATATATGCTTAAATTTATTTGGGAATAAAATTGTGTTTAATTATGGAATAGAAAGAATCTAGATATCAAGTTTAATTTTTATTTTATGTTAGGTTTAATTTTATATTTATATTAATTAGACCAGTTGTGAAAGATATTAATAGTATACATTTTATGGGAGGTGAGAGAGCTTTTTTTTCATTAGATTTATTTTTAGGAGAGAGACGTGGTTGCATAAGATTTATATTCTTTTTATATAAAAGCTTGATTTATTTTGAGGAGTGAGAGGTTAAGAATTTTATGCTTTTTTTTTTCTTTCTTTGTTTTTATCTGCAATATATTTGCATTAAATAATTTTGAAGGTTAATATTTATATCATTGGAATAGCCAACACATGTTTTAATTTTATTTTTATTTTTTTGGTTTTAAAACACTATTAGGGGAGAAATTTGGTATAATATATAGCATAGATAGATAGATTATGAGATTTAGGAAACAGGTGAATATTAGGGGAGAAATTTTTGGAACTTATAATTCAATTATTACTTTTTAAATCTATAGTTACTTTGTTAGCCAATAACATTGTTTTTAAATATTTTTAAAATTACAAAAATTAGCAATTTTAGTTTTTTTTTTTTTTAATCTATAGTTACTTTGTTAGCCAATAGTACAGTTAAATATTTTTAAAATTATAAAAATTAACAATTGTGGTTTTAATTTTTTTTTAATTTATAATTTTTTTATTTTTGTAATTTGTGTGTGTTTTTTTTTTAATGTATAATATTTTTTTAATGTATAGTTACTTTGTTATAAGATGAGATTTAGGGCCAATAGTATTATTGTTAAATATTTTTAAAATTATAAAAATTAACAATTGTGGTTTTAATTTTTTTTTAATCTAAAATTTTTTTATTTTTGTAATTTGTGTGTTTTTTTTTTAATGTATAATATTTTTTTAATGTATAGTTACTTTGTTATAAGATGAGATTTAGGAAAGAGAGAAATATTAAGGGAGAGATTTTAGGAATTTGTAATTCAAAATTCTATGTGGTTTTTTATTTTTTAATTATTATTATTTAGATAAGTTATGATGCGAGTTAAATATGTGATAGATATGTGAGTTTTTTTTATTTAAAGTATAATAGTTTGAGATATTTTCAAATCAGATTTATTTAGATAGACTTTATAGATTTTTAAAATTTAAAATTAGATATTGAGAGGCAAAAGAAATATTTTAACTCATCATCGAGGAAATGGCGATAATGCAGATGATGATCGGACTAACAAGCAATTGGCAAGTTATACTGATGATTCTGATGAGCAATTAAAGATGCTTGAAAATGTGTTTCTCAGTCCTGATTTGCATCAGCGGTCCGGGTTATGTCTTCATCATGATGACAATGATTCAGCCAAGTAGTTGCAGCAGAGTGGACCATCGGAAGGTTCAAATGGAGGAAAGGGACGCGGTAGGAAACAAGGCAACAAAAAGGAAATGTTTGATTTGCAGACTCTCCTAACTCAGTGTTCGCAAGCCGTTGCACGAGCTGATGTTAGGAGTGTTAATGAACAGCTTAACCGAATCAGACAACACTCTTCTGCTCAAGGTGATGGCATCGAAAGATTGGCCCATTACTTTGCTAATGCCCTCGAGGCTCGTTTGGCTGGCACTGGGACAGCATTGTATGTTCCTTCATCTACCATGAGGATATCGGCTGCTGATGTCTTGAAATCTTACGAGACATATGTCAAAGCATGCCCTTTCAACAAAATGTCCAATTTGTATGCGAATAGATCGATTATGAAGCTCGCTCAGACAGCAACGACGCTTCACATAATCCATTTTGGTATTCTATATGGGTTCCAATGGGCCTGCCTTATCCACCATCTCTCTGCCAGACCCGGTGGGCCTCCTAAGCTTCGCATTACAGGAATAGACTTTCCCCAACCTGGGTTTCACCCAGCAGAGAGGGTTGAGCAAACGGGGCGTAGGTTGGAAACATATTGCAAGAGATTTAACGTACAATTTGAGTACACTGCAATAGCCAAGAAATGGGAAACTATCGAACTTGACGAACTCAAGATCGATAGGGACGAGGTGCTTGTTGTTAATTGCTTGCTTCGGCTTTAATAAAATATATAAATATTAATAATCACAACATTACACACAAAAATAAATAAATAAATAAATAAATAAATAAATAAAATCATTATACTATATAAAAATTATGATACTCTCCTCATTAAACAATGAATATGATTTTGAGAAGAAAAATGGTTCGTAGCACGAATCGGGGTTAGCCCGAATCCCCTGACTGCCCAAAACGATGTCGTTTTGGGCAGTTTATTTTTATTTTATTTTATTTTTCAGTTGTGTTACGTAGCTCGAATTCTCGCTTCCCCGATTCTCCCGAATTCAAAACGATGTCGTTTCGTCGTTTTGAAATTTTTTTTTTTGTCCAATAACGCAGAAGAAGAAGAAGAAGGAAGAGGAAGAGGAGAGGAGCAGAGAGAGAGAGACAACATCATCATCATCAACAACATTATCATCATCATCATCAGATCTTCATCAACATCATCATCAACAACCATTCAGATCCAAGAAAAAAAAAAATTAAGATCCATCATCAACATCAACATTTTCATCAACCATTCAACAACATTTTCATCAACATCACCAACATCAACACATTTTCAAAAAAAAAAAAAAAACGCTTCGATCTGGAAAAAAGAAAGGGGCTGGAAAAAAAAAATGAAGGCGGAGGCGACGGCGATCATCGATCGACCCTCTCTCTCTCCATTCCCTCTTCCCCTCTCTTCTCTTTCTCTCCTCTTTCTCTCCTCTTTCTCTTCCCCTCTCTTCTTCTCTTTTCTCTTCCTCTTGTTTTCAGTTTCAAACTGCATAAGGAGAAAAAAAAGAGATATTTTATAACACGAAAAATTTTCTCCAAATGGCCCGAATTTATGAAACCACGTCATTTTGATTTTAAATTTTTTTTTCCTTCTTTCCACTCCTCGTTTCTCTCTCAAAGTTTGAACCATCTCTCGCTACTCACTCTCTCCTCATAGGCGACTCCATTCGAGCCCTTAATCTCTCTCCTCAGAGTCGACTTCATCCCAAGGGGCATTTCCCTAAATAAGCCAAAATACTAATTCAATTCCCAAACTAAGCCTAGTATTGAAAGAATTCCCAAAATAGGCTAAAACGTGGTTCACAACCACGATTTCAACGTCTATGCGTCTGTCTCGCGTGAAATTTGGGAAGTCTTAAAATCGTGGTTACAAAACGCGCTTTTGATTAAGAAATCGCGGTTACAAACCGCGCTTTTAGTTATATTTTTTTTTCTTCTGAAAGCGTGGTTGTGAACCACAATTTCAACTTAAACTTTTTTTCTTTTGAAAACGTGGTTATGAACCACATTTTTTATCAAATTTTTTTTTTCTTCTGAAAGCGTGGTTGTGAACCACGCTTTCAATACACAAATGATATTGCTGCTTGGCGTGCTATTGGACCAACTGATACATCAAGTAAGTCAACACTCATCAACAGTTGGTCCAATAAATTTATTTCATAGCTAAAAGTGACACCTTTCCCGACCATAACAACTTAGTAGCGAAAAAGCCTCATTCGGCGACTAAAGGCTTTAGTGGCGGAAACAAACCTTTTGCCGACTAAACTAAAATTAATAGCCAAATGTAGTCACTTTTGGCGACCAAACAAATTTTAGTCGCCAATACTATCGCCGACAGGGTAAAGGCGACGAGCTTAGCGATAAAATATTTTAGTCGCTAAATGGTTTCAGCGACTAAATATTGGACTTTTGGCGACCAATATTTTGGTAGCCAAAAGTGACATTTCTTGTAGTGTAAAAAGAAAAAAAAAATCCAATTTCCTCTAGATCTTTTTGCATTAATTTTATGGCTTAGGCCCTCAAAATCACCAATTATTGGCCTCTGTCTATAAATTTAAAAATTATATATAAAAAAAAATTTAAAAAAAATAGACTGAAAAAGTAAATCATTTTGCATGTGTCTGATCAATTAGGTTTTTCTTCTTCTTCATAGCATTGAAAATGATTTAAATTAGTGGAAAAAAGAAAAAAAAAAACATGTACAAACAATAGATACCTGCAAATTAAATTAGATTTGATCCTCTTCTTGAACTTTCTTTCTTGGGCCATTTCCCTAAATAAGCCAAAATACTAAATCAATTCCCAAACTAAGCCTAGTTTTGAAAGAATTCCCAAAATAGGCTAAATCGTGGTTCACAACCACGATTTCAACATATATACGCCTGTCTCGCGTGAAATCTTGGAAGTCTTAAAATTGTGGTTACAAAACGCGCTTTTGATTAAGAAATCGCGGTTACAAACCGCGCTTTTAGTTATATTTTTTTTTCTTCTGAAAGCGTGGTTGTGAACCACGATTTTAACTTAAACTTTTTTTCTTTTGAAAACGTGGTTATGAACCACTTTTTTTATCAATTTTTTTTTTCTTCTGAAAGCATGGTTGTGAACCACGCTTTCAATACACAAATGATATTGCTGCTTGGCGTGCTATTGGACCAACTGATACATCAAGTAAGTCAACACTCATCAACAGTTGGTCCAATAAATTTATTTCATAAAAAATAAAATAAATTTCAAAAATTTTACGTTATCTTAGTGTTTAGGGATAAAATTTATTTTTTTTTTTTACTAAAATAAAAATAAATAAATTTTAAGAATTAAACCCCAAACCCTAAAATTAAAAAAAAAAATTATCCCTAAATACTAAGGTAGCGTTTGGTAACGTTTACGTTTTTTGTTTATATTTATGAAAATTTTATAAACTGGTTTTTATTTATTTTTAGAAAAACATAAATTACAAATGCGTTTGGTTTGAACAATAAAATAATTGAAAAAATTTAATTTTAAAAAAAAATTAATTGAAAAAAAAATTATTTGAAAAAAAAAATTAATTGGGAAAAAAAATATTTGAGTAAAATTTAATTGAAATAAAAGATTAATTTAAAAAAATTAATAGAAAAAAAAATTAATTGAAAAAAAATAATTGAAAAAAATTATTTGATCTTAATTTCAATTATTTGGTCTTATTTTTTTTCAATTATTTGAAATTAAGACCAAATATTTTTTTTTCAATTAAATTTTTTTTTCTATTAAATTTTTTTCCCAATTAAATTTTTTTCCCCCATTTTGTTCAAAGCAAACTCGTTTGTAATTTATGTTTTTCTAAAAATAAATAAAAACCAGTTTATAAAATTTTCATAAATATAAACAAAAAACGTAAACGTTACCAAACGCTACCTTAATATTTAGGGATAAATTTTATTTTTTTTATTTTAGGGTTTAGGGTTTAATTCTTAAAATTTATTTATTTTTATTTTAGTAAAATAAAAAAAATAAATTTCATCCCTAAACACTAAGGTAGCGTAAATTTTTGAAATTTATTTTTATTTTTAGAAATTTATTTTATTTTTTATGAAATAAATTTATTGGACCAACTGTTGATGAGTGTTGACTTACTTGATGTATCAGTTGGTCCAATAGCACGCCAAGCAGCAATATCATTTGTGTATTGAAAGCGTGGTTCACAACCACGCTTTCAGAAGAAAAAAAAAATTGATAAAAAATGTGGTTCACAACCACGTTTTCAAAAGAAAAAAAATTTAAGTTAAAATCGTGATTCACAACCACGCTTTCAGAAGAAAAAAAAATATAACTAAAAGTGCGGTTTGTAACCGCGATTTCTTAATCAAAAATACATTTTGTAATCACGATTTTAAAACTTCTCAAATTTCACGCAAGACAGGTGCACAGATGTTGAAATCGTGGTTGCGAACCACGTTTTAGCCTATTTTGAGAACTCTTTCAAAACTAGGCTTAATTTGGGAATTGAATGAAATGCCCCTCATCCCAACCCTCAATCAATACCTTTCTCTCTCTATTTCTTCTTCTTCTTCTTCTTCTTCTTCTTCTTCTTCTTCTTCTTCTACCTGTTCATCGTCTTCCGAGCTAGGTGATGATGGGTATGAGCAGCAGCAGATGTTCTCACACTTCCCACATCACCGAGATCATCATCACCAGCTTCTTCCGACACAAGCTCTGAAAAAAACCCATTAATAAAATCATATATATACATACATATACAAAAACCCATTATCGGATTGAAAACTGCACAATCTTTTCTTCATACCCATTATCTATGGTTGCTTGACCCAACCCCCTTTTTTTAATCCTCGAAGAATCCATGGCGGCTCGGAGGGTGGTCTACGCCCCCTCTGTCGGTGGTTCCAATTCCAATACTGTTTTGCTTCAAACCCCTAATTCTCTGTTCCTCTCTGGCTATTCCCCTTCTTTCCTCGGTAATTTTCTATGTTTTTTCTTTTTCTTTTTTTATTATTGATTTTTGTGATTCAATTGCTGGGGCCATTTCCCAAAATAAGCCAAATTTACAATTCAATTCCTAAACTAAACCTAGTTTTAAAATAATTCCCAAAATAAATTAAATCGTGGTTCACAACCACGATTTTAACATATATGCGTCTGTCTCGCATGAAATTTGGGAAGTCTTAAAAGCATGGTCATAACGCGATTTTGATTAATAAATCGCGGTTACAAAAGGCGCTTTTAATTAAAAAAAAATTTCTTCTGAAATCGCTGTTCTGAATCACGTTTTTATCCAATTTTTTTTTTTCTGAACTCGCTGTTCTGAACCACGCTTTTTAGCCAAAATTTGTTTCTGCTTAAATCGTGGTTCCTAACCACGCTTTTTGGCCAAACACATGCACTCACACAAACACTCTCACTCTCTCACTTTGACTCTGACACAAACACAAACAACCACTCACATACGCAGTCACACTCAATATATATATATATAAATTTTAATATATATTTATAATTTAATATATATATATATATATAAATTTTATTTCATAAAATTGAAATCAATATTAAATATATATAATAATTTTTAATAATAAACAATAACAATTAAATAATAAAAATTATAATAATTAAATAACAATTATAATAATTATAAAAATTAAATATATATAACAAATAATAATCAACTATATAAAATATTAATATTGATTTCAATTTTATATTTCATAAAATTGAAATCAAT